GGACGGACATTGGCGGACCCGGACGGACATTGGCGGACTTGGATGGACATTAGCGGACATTGGTGGACATTAGCGGACAAACATTTTGAGGACTGAAGAGTACTGAAGAGTACTGAGGAGGATGGCTGAGAAGGATGGCTGAGGAGGATGGCTGAAGAGGATGGCTGAGGAGGATGACTGCGGAGGATGACTGAGGAGGATGACTGAGAGGGAGGAGAAGGATCAGGAAGACCCAGGAGGAGGAGGAGGAGGACCCAGAAGGAGGACCTAGGAGGAGGAGGAGGAGAACTGAGGAGGATGACTCAGGAGGAGGAGGACTCAGGAGGAGGACTGAGGAGGACTGAGGAGGATGGCTGAGGAGGATGGCTGAGGAGGATGACTGAGAGGGAGGAGGAGGAGGAAGAGGAGGAAGAGGACTGAGGAGGAGGAGGACCCAGGAGGAGGACCCAGGAAAAGGCCCCAGGAGGAGGAGGAGGACTGGGGAGGAGGAGAACTGTTGAGGACTGATGAGGAGGACTGAGGACGAGGAGGAAGAGTAGGAGGAGGACTGAGGAGGGGAGGAGGAAGAGGACTGGGGAGGATCAGGAAGACCCAGGAGGACCCAGGAGGAGGAGGAGGAGGAGGAGGACCCAGGAGGAGGAGGAGGACTGAGGAGGACTGAGGAGGAGGACTGACGATGACTGAGAATAAAATCAAATCAAATCAAAATATAATGACACAAACATCATCACACATCATCAAAAATATATCTACTAAAGTTTTAAAATTATCTTAAATCTATTGGCCTAAACAACCAATGAATCTAATTTACATACTTTCCACTACTATATAAGTTGATAAAGCGGTTTTTAGCAACATGAGGATTACACACAAGATATGTGCTTCTCTTTATTATAAGTAGCATAATTTAATCCCTCGATCTTTCCTAATACTTTGTCTGAAACATACCAAAAATGACTATCATTTACAGATCCGTTTAAAATAGTCTCTTTTTTGAAAGCCTCTAATCTTATTTTAAAACTTAACACAGTCCCACAATTCTTGACATCCGAGGGGAGTTTGTTCCAATATGAGAAGGAGGAGGACTGAGGAGTTCTGAGGAGGATGGCTGAGGAGGATGGCTGGGGAGGATGGCTGAGGAGGATGACTGAGGAGGATGGCTGAGGAGGATGACTGAGGAGGATGACTAAGAGGGAGGAGGAGGACTCAGGAGGAGGACTCAGAAGGAAGAGGAGGAGGACTCAGGAGGAGGACTCAGGAAGAGGACTTAGGAGAAATGAGAAGGAGGACTGAGGAGAACTGAGGAGAACTGAGGAGGAGGAGGAGGAGGAGGAGGACTGAATAGGAGGAGGAGAAGGAGGGGGACTGGGAGAGGACTGGGGAGGAGAAGGACTGATGAGAATTAGAAGGATAAGGAGGAGGACCCAGGAGGAGGAGGACTGAGGACCGAGGAGGAAGAGGAGGAGGAGGAGGATGAAGAGGAGGAGGAGGACCCAGGAGGAGGAGGACTGAGGAGGAGGACTGAGGAGGACTGAGGAGGATGGCTGAGGAGGATGACTGAGAGGGAAGAGGAGGAGGAGGAGGAGGAGGACTGAGGAGGACTGAGAAGGAGGAGGAGGAGGAGGACTGAATAGGAGGAGGAGGAGGGGGACTGGGGGAGGACTGAGGAGGAGGATGGAGGACTGAGGAGAAGGATGAGGAGGAGGACTGAGGACTGAGTAGGAAGAGGAGGAGGATGAAGAGGAGGAGGAGGACCCAGGAGGAGGACCCAGGAGGAGGACTCAGGAGGAGGCTGGAGGAGGAGGACTGGGGAGGAGGAGGACTGTTGAGGACTGATGAGGAGGACTGAGGACGAGGAGGAGGAGTAGGAGGAGGACTGAGGAGGGGAGGAGGAAGAGGACTGAGGAAGATCAGGAAGACCCAGGGGGAGGAGGAGGAAGAGTAGGAGGAGGAAGCATCTAAATGTTATTTCCATTTTGTCCGTTTTTGTCCATTTTTGTCCGCTCTATTTTTTGTCCGTTTTGAAAATATAGGGTACCGAACGGACAAAAAACATGATCCCCCTATAACAGCAAAAATTGAACATTTTATTTAGCAATTTAGGTGTCCATTAATGTCCGCCTATGTCCGCCTATGTCCGCCTATGTCCGTCTATGTCCGCCTATGTCCGCCTATGTCCGTCTATGTCCGCCTATGTCCGCCTATGTCCTGTCCTTTTTGGATTCTATGAGACAAGCGGACATAGACGGACGTGACACCCCCCCCTTTATAACTATACAGGACACAATTCTTGTCCAAATTTGCTGTTCTACGGTGGAATAAAGAACCAAATGTTGCCGCCAAAAATGCCGACTCATCCTCACCATCCCATCTTTTTATGATAAACTTTAAGGTTTCAAATAAATAATTCCCAGGGCTTTTCCCTCCTCACCAAAATCCATCCATCAACTTGCTACCACCTTCCCAAAATTCCTTAGAAAACCTAATCGGTGATGGACTAGGATTTGCAGCAGTAAATGGAACCGACAATTCGATGGAGCCAAAAGGTGTAGAAATGTGAGCAGCAGGAGGTCCAGCAACAGGAGCAGCAGAGTGTTCACTAGACGGTTCATTTGATACTCCATCCCAGAGAGCAACAGGAAGTTCGGGAGATGGAGAATCAGCCCCTGTCTCGCTGGAACATGTTGAATGAAGTTTCTCCAACCTACTATCAATATTTGATTTAAGCTCGGTAATTCCAGCATTGAACTTTTCACTGTCACTGAACTCATATGACATCCTCACGGCTAATTCTCCACCGAGAATTAGCCCTATAGGGCCGATCCATTCACCAGGTCTCTTCATTCGGTCTTCCATTATAATGGGAACCATAAGAGCTTTTCCTTTAACTCTTGCAGCATACTGAAATTCAAGTTTACAGTTGTCTTTTTCGTTCGAGCCACCAACTTTCAGAGCGTATCGCTGAGTCACGAACACAAGAATTATTTTCGTGTTATCTATACCGGATGCCATCTGATGCATGATATCTCCAGTCATACGGTCACTATCAAACCAAGTTTTATAGCCTAGTTCCTTCAACGCTTCGTTCACAACAGCTACCCTATCATGATTTGAACGACCCAGCTCATCTTTTCCCCAGTCGTGAGTGAGGAATACGTCAGTTTTACCTGGCTCACCCATTAACACTGACCTTCACCTGGTAAAAATATTGAGACAATCAAAAATGTAGAGCACCAACGTTTTCATGCTAGCTAGTTATAAATTTGAGTCTGTGTCTGTCACCAGACTAAGCTATGAACAACAATTTAAACCCTTCGAGGTTTATTTCACAGTACATTGCAGCTAATTGATTGGGGTAGTTGTATTTCTGTTTTTTGTACTTTAAACGAATAAAATCGGACAAAGTGGTTAAGATTATAAACCATTCCTTATATAGGTATCACGTTACAGGTTACAAACAGTAATTCTCGGACAAAACCACTGCTAACAAGGAAACTGCTAACAAGGAAACTGCTAACAAGGAAACTGCTAACAAGGAAACTGCTAACAAGGAAACTGCTAACAAGGAAACTGCTAACAAGGAAACTGCTAACAAGGAAACTGCTAACAAGGAAACTGCTAACAAGGAAACTGCTAACAAGGAAACTGCTAACAAGGAAACTGCTAACAAGGAAACTGCTAACAAGGAAACTGCTAACAAGGAAACTGCCGACAAGGAAACTGCTAACAAGGAAACTGCTAACAAGGAAACTGCTAACAAGGAAACTGCCGACAGGGAAACTGCTAACAAGGAAACTGCTAACAAGGAAACTGCTAACAAGGAAACTGCTAACAAGGAAACTGCTAACAAGGAACTGCCGACAAGGAAACTGCTAACAAGGAAACTGCTAACAAGGAAACTGCTAACAAGGAAACTGCTAACAAGGAAACTGCCGACAAGGAAACTGCTAACAAGGAAACTGCTAACAAGGAAATTGCTAACAAGGAAACTGCTAACAAGGAAACTGCTGACAAGGAAACTGCTAACAAGGAAACTGCTAACAAGGAAACTGCTAACAAGGAAACTGCCGACAAGGAAACTGCTAACAAGGAAACTGCTGACTTCAACTGATAGAATTATTCAACCAAACACAAAAACAGCGGCCCACAACGACTGACGAGCCAGACTATATAAGTAATGTCAGCACTGTAAAATTACTCTAGCAAATTAGCACTACAGTACAAGTAGAGCAGTACTACAATACAATGTTTGTAGTGTGTGTACATAGTTCTTATGCCAAATACTTTGCTTCTTGCTATCTGTCTTACTCTTTTAGAGTATATTTCCCGTTAATCATGAACAGAATGTTTACCATACCCGCGACATAGATATTACGTAATATCATGTTGTTGTAAATTTGTTAAAAATGGCAGATAATAGACCATTTGTAGAACAATAATTGGTCTTTGCTTCGAACAGAAACAAAATGTGTGGGAAGCAAAATGTAAACAAATATATGGGCTAATTGAGTACAATTTTAAGTTATTAAGACCTGTAAATGAGTGTAACGAGAAAGAGTCAGACATAATTTAAAGTTTCATCTTATGTCATCTCTTTACTTGTGCAATGTGCGGGGTATGTATGACAAGTTGCTGATTTTCTGAATTATAAAGCAATAAAACCAGATACCTTCTCCTTGTATGTATTATTGTTGCTCTTTGATTTTATCATGTATTTTACATTTTACATCACCAGTCACCTATTCGCCGTATATAATAGAGACTATATAATGTGCCTCAACTTCAGACAGCTTTCCAATCTGCCCAAATAGAGCATGAAATGATTTCATTCCAATTGAAGAGCATTTGTAGCGGGTTAAATGGACAGGCTTCAGCGATATAAATAAGCACAATTTAACATGATCAACGTCTTTTTGTTTTGTTTTCACATCATATTTCGTTATAATACTGATATTTTATGCTGATTAGCTTGTTGAAATCTAATAAATCTAATCAAGACCAGAGAATGGCTTCAGACTCAGACGAGGAGAATGTAGCAGTGGTGTTGGATGTGGGGTCGTATCATTTGAGTTATGGAATGTCTGGGGATGACATACCGAAGTTCTCTAAATTGGCAACTGCAACAAAAGATGACACAAATAATGGCCAGGTTAATGAGTTTTATAATATATACTGTAATATTAATGAGTTTTACAAATATTACAGTGGATAAATCTTTGTTTACTCCTTTCTAAAGTTAATGTTGTTGAAAATCATACCTTTATTTTTTGAGCACTCAGAAATTAATATTAGGTAAAAATCGATCACTGCTTGTAATAATTAAAATGGCCAATTTTATTTCCTTGCGCCAAAAAATGAGTTAACTCTGTAATACAGGCTCCAGTGTTCAAAGCAAAGCTAGTAGACAAGGAACGAATAGACGAAATCATCAAAATGACAGTTGAAGACTTAGGCGTTCAGCCTGAGGACAAGTTCCTATTGATGTCGAATCCAGCCTCAATGTCTATGGAAGATAAAATGTCTCTTTGTGAAATTGTTTTTGAAAGTTCACCTTTCCAGGTGAGCATCTTTTTCATTTTTTCTCAATAATAAAACAAACGTTTTTGGGGGGGGGGCTGACCATATTAAAGTACATTAAAATGAATATTAAAATGTAGGTTTTTCCTGATTTAGGGGCGGGGATATACTTTAATATGTGCAATTTTGTTCATGGAGGTCTTTTTACTTAGTATCCACTATAATTCTACAGATATTGAGCTATATCTTTCACATAAAGTTAGTCTCATTCAAAAATATTGAAATTTGATCGAATTTTGGTCGAAAGCTTTCAAATTTTGTGCGTATGCCCAAACATGGGCTTATGGTTTAAAGCTTATAACCATTTTTGACCAAACTGGATGTAAATTCATGTACTAGTCCAAAAACAGGCTTATCTTGCAAATCTAAACGAAGAATATAGCTCGACTAATTTTGGGTATATTAAAGTACTAGTGTAACCCGGCCTTCGGCCGGGATTTCACTGCCGCAGTTAAAAAGGGTAGGAGTAATTACCCGCTGAGTCAAAATCCGCATTAGGTGACCCAATAGTTTCTTAAACAATAATCTCATAATCAGTTATTTCTTGTGGATAATTAAGTCATTATTAGCCATGAGGCACCACATTCCATGATCATAAGGTCTGAACACCGAGTATTACACCTCATCACTCCCGTCTTGAACCGCTTTCTATTTTTATTTAAATCGTTATAGAAATTAACACTTGTTAACTCCGCACCACACCCGCCTATTATATTTGAAAACACGCATAACACATAACATTGTCGTATGAACTCTCTCTCTCTCTCTCTCTGCAGTCCAAACAGACCCCAAACACTAACAGTCCCCCTCCCCTAATAAGCTTATGGTATTACATTACAGCGAATCTTCCAGGGCTAACGCAATTATGACGCTACTTAAATGCATATTATACAGTAATGAGATATAGAGAGCAAGCCCCGTAACTCTTGCCGTTCTGCTCAAACTATTTTATGCAACATTTGTGGTACAAAACCGTCAATTAAACCACCTACCACCGGCCGATTTTAAAAAAATTTGCTTATGGGCTTCATCAGATTTTTGTCCGCACTTTACCGAAAAAAACCAGTCCCGTAACTCTTACCGTTTTTTTTGTATAACCGTTCGGAAATTTCAAACACACACACACACACACACACACGGATTTCTTGGTATTATTAAGGTGGTATTAAAGTTGTTTATTAGGTTTTTTCCCGATTTAGGGGCAGGTTTATACTTTTATATACTTTAATATGGTTAGTTACCCCCCCCCCCCCCCCCCCCCCCCCCCCCGTTTTTAATATTGAGAAAACTTCAATACATATGAACAAGTGAACATTCTTAAATTTTGGTAATGCAGGACTAGTTAAGTTAGCAAACTTTTGAAGATGCTTAACTTTAACTCAAGAACTATGTTATGAAACCCAATCATTTCAGGTTTCTTGACCTTATCTGAGTCGACATTGGGATTATATTCCACTGGCAGGTCGTCTGGTTTATGTCTTGATGTTGGACACACAATGACAACTGTAGTTCCGGTATATGAGGGATACCCACTAACAGGATGTCCTTCAGTTATAACATCTCCAATTTCTGGTTTACAGCTTGATGAGTTGCTGAAGAAACTTAATCCAAAACTAGCAGGGCTGGATAGTGTAGCAATGACGGCTGTTAAAAAACAGTTGTGTCAAGTTGCTGAAAATGGGCCTACCATGATTCCAGAGTATGAAATGACTGACTTTGTCCTGCCAGACGAATCAAAGGTTTCTGTAGGAAACGAAACAAAACGAGCATCTGAATTCCTCTTCTCCCCTCATTACTTTGGCATTAAATCTCCGGGATGTCATGAGATGATATACAATTCTTTGCACAAGGTAGATCCAGATGGCCACAAGGAAATAATAGAAAATGTTCTCCCAATGGGAGGAACTACGAGAATGCAAGGTTTTGCAAAACGATTACAATTAGAACTATTGGGGGTTTTAGACTACGAGTTTAATGTTATTGATCAAAGCCCCGCTGAAAAGGAGCACATGTCATGGATTGGAGGTTCTGTTTGTGGTGAACTAACAACATTTGGGCAGATGTGGATCTTTAGATCTGAGTTTGAAGAAGAGGGTGTAGAGAGAATATGTAAAAAGAAGTTTATGTTTTAATTCCAGGAGTCATTTACAAATCACCCTTCCGTCTTATTATAACTACTAGCAGGAACCTGTATAACCCTAAAATGGTGTCAAGACTCAAGAGACTAAAATAATTATTACCTATTTAATTCGCGTTTTTGACACCACTTGGGGGTCCAAATTTTGGGCTCTAAAACTCCTATTCCTTGGCCAATATTTTATGCTTTCATGCTGAAAGTTGCAGGAGAAAGTGATCTTATGGCATATGCAACATGACCTCAACATAGCTAATGATATCAACAAACGACAATTCGGCTTTAAGAAGGGCTGCTCCACAGAAGCGGCACTTCATAAAGTTACTCACACCATTGAGCGCAGAATAGCCAAGAAAGGATATATGTCCTAGGTGTCTTTCTAGATATAGAGGGCGCCTTCGACAATGTCTCGTTCAAGGCTATCTCTGAAGCAGTCAAGGCTACGAAAGTGGACTTGGCTACAGCACAGTGGATCATCAACATGGTAACCAATCGATTCATCACACTAAATCATAAGGATAAGTCGAGAAGGGTACGGATCAGGCGAGGTTGCCCCCAAGGAGGCATTCTCTCTCCTTTTCTCTGGAACCTGGTAGTCGACGATCTCCTTACCTTTACCGCAAAAGACATCCCGGGTTACCTGCAAGCCTTTGCGGATGATCTGTTGTCTCTAGCGGAAGGGGATGATTTAGACATCATCTGGGACCGAACATGCAAAACTATAAAAACGATAGAAAATTGGTGCAGAACCAAAGAGCTATCTATTACCGCCCTTAAAACTCAGATAGTCATGTTTACCTGGAATAGTAAGTGGACTCTAAGACCTATAACAGTTGGCAACAACATTATAGGTCTGTCCAAGTCTGCTAAATTTCTAGGTGTGACCTTGGACAGCATACTCAACTTCAATGAACAAATCATCAACACCACCAAAAAAGCCACGGCATCCCTCATGCAATGTCGAAGAGCTGTCGGCCCCACATGGGGTATGAGCCCCAAAACATGCAAATGGATGTACACTGCTGTCATCCGTCCAATCCTATCCTACTGCTGTAGTATATGGATCAGGGCCACTCAAACGGACTACAACGCGAAAAAACTCAAACGTGTTCAGGCATTGGCACTCAGAATGATGTCTGGTGCCATGCCAACACTTCTGACATCATACTGTTCCTGCAAGGCGAAGCAGCAAAGGGTGCAGCCAGGCTACAAGCTTACGGCAGGCTCACTCTTGAATCTATCGCCTTCAGGAAGGGAACTATCAAAAATCATACCACTATCAACAAACAATTCACGGCAGATCTCATTATCCCACCTAGAGCAACGAGAGACCTAACAACACCAACCATGATGCTGGGACGGCACTTCACCGTCACAACTCCTGGAACCGATAACACTGAATATAGAAATTCACTTCAAAACACCATTGACAACATTACCAGTGAAACGATCACCTGCTACACTGACGGGTCACTCACAGACTCAGGATGCGGGGCTGGCTATATCATCACAACTGACAACAATAACACCACCCTTGAAGAAAGATCATTCAAGCTCCCTGATTATTGTACTGTTTACCAAACAGAGCTCACCGCCATCATTGAAGCTTGCAAATATCTCTCTACCTATACCTGTCATACCAACACACATATCATCATATGGTCTGACAGTCTCTCATCTATACAAGCTATCTCTGCGCTTTCAACGCGTAGTAGAACTACAAGAGACTGTTACGACTCTCTTAATGCACTCGGATCCAACAACACGCTAGAGATACGATAGATTGCAGCACACATCGGATTATGGGGGAACGAAAAAGCAGATGAGCTGGCCAAGCTTGGTACAATCAGTGAATCCACTTTGAAGTGTCCAATTCCACAATCCTACATCAAGCGTCAAATCGACAACAAAGTCAACATACTGAATCAGGAAACTTGGTTAACTGACGGTCCCAGACACACCAAACTGACACTCGGCCACAAGCACGCCAAAATCATCAAAAACCTCAACACTACACTCAGCAACAACAGACAAGATTACAGAACTGCAGTTCACCTCATCACGGGTCACCGCGGTTTAAACAAACACCTTCACACCATTTGCAAATCAAACACCAGTGCTTGTCCTATGTGTGGCGACGGAGAGGAAACTGTCTCACACTTCCTTGGACAGTGTCCGGCTATTGCCCAAATTAGAGGTCAATATTTCCAGGACTACTACCTCTCTGTCAATGACATATTCGACAACCAACACATCACCACGGTTGTCAATTTCGCAAACCGCACCAAACGCTTAATTGTGCCGGAAGAGCTGGATCAGACCGGGGTGACTTAAAGTATTATCTCAAATGCTGTCTCGTCTCGTTTTACTTCTCCAAACCCAGCTGGCATTTAAGCGTATCATTTTGACTCATATCAGTATCACTTCTTACACCATACTCCACCATTCACTCTGATTTCACCGGCAACTTTCCCCCAGGGTTGCCACACCCCAGAGGTAGGCAGAGCATCTCAATGCTATCCTCTCGTGGGCTATCTTGGCCAAGCCTCTCTTATTTTTTTTTTAAATGCTGAATTGGAGGCCATTAAAGCATTTGACCCAGTCAAAAAAGTTTCAGTTGTATATCTATTACGGCTTTTGCGGAAAGTTGCGTTAAAGTTGATGCCGTGGTGTCAGTAAAATGGTACGGATCCATATAATATATAATCGTCTCGCTTTATATATAGTAAGATGCTGTTTGGATTTTGTATTCATTTTTATTTACATTAGATAAAGTTTGTGTAGCCTCACTTATATTTGCAATATAATTATAATGTTTTCGGGTGAATACCTTGTTTGTTTTTGAGTGAATACCCTATTTGAATACCAAGGTGTGTTACTGAATACCAGATCATTTTATATGCAATTATTCATGATATCATGAGATACAGAAACTTACCTTATCCAGGATGTCCTTCAACAAGTACTGCTTCCTTTTCTCCTTTTCTCCAACCTCTGGTTCCTGAGAGTCTGAGAATTTCCAGTGCAGCGTAGGAACAAACTCTTCAATCTTCTCCACTGCTGGTCGGATTGTATCAGATGTTGTAACTGACGAAGCCACAGAGGACAGTCTACTCAGCTTCTTAGTTCTGGGAGAATAAACAGTTTTATTGCTAAAAATTGAAATAAGATCACAGTCTCAGAGTGAATGAATATTTTTAAACTTTTCATGTTTTCAATCAATTCTAAGTGAGACTACAATATTCTCCGGGGTATTTAAATTCGGTCCAATCAATGAATCATACCAACCTGTTGCTGGTGTTTGCATCTAGAAATGCTCTCTCTTTTTCTTCTTCCCTCTGTTTTTGTTTCAGCATCTGTTTTACAAGCTTTTTCTGCTGAGCTTCAATTTCCAATTTGTTGAAGGCTATTGGTAACGGCTGGTGGTCGCACTTTGCGCACCAAGCATTAAATTCGTTCCACAGATTGCACAACACTTTCGTCACAATCGTTTGAGCTTGTCGGAAAATATAAGGCCCAAGATCATATCGACTTTCAGTTATTTTGTGAGCTATGTCGTTTGGAACACTAACCTGAACTTTTGGAAATACCGTGGAATCTAGAAAACAGTCTATGATTGTGTCAATTTTCTTTCGAATGAGAGAAGTTGAAGAGTGTCGGTGATGCATATCTTTATACCTCTGCACTTCTACCCAAAATTCAATGTCTCTTAGGAGCCTATCATTTTTGGCTTTTGCAAAACGTTTCAAGGGTTCACATTTTGAGTGATCAATCAAGGTTCTTCGCAATTGAAGCATGTCATGTGCATTCGCTCTGGCTTTTGAGTCGACAAAAACAAAACTTTGTGCATTGTCATTGACTTTTCTGCGAGCTAATGCACTTCCACCTCGATCCTGCCTTCTTTGAAATTCTTCAGTTGACTTATACTGCTTAATCCATTTACTGTTTAATCTTAGGAGCACATACTTCTGGACTTCAAGAACAACAGGTGAGGGTGGTCGAGCAGGCATTTTGTGGCCTGACCCTCCAAGGACCTTGATTTGAATATTCCTTGGAGCAGGAGATGAAGGCCCAAAGAAATACTTTTTGGTCAAATACAATTGCTTTATAGATGCTGCCAATTCATCTCTAGCTGATATCTTTCCTTTGGCTAATTTGAACTTTTCAATGTCAATGTAGCAATCCAAATCCACCAAAGGATTGACAGATTGGTCCGAGTTCGAGATGACAAGATCGTCAGAATTAGAAACAAGTGACCCAAGAAAAGTTTTAAATCGTTCATACTCACTTCTGCTTCTAAGAATTGATGAGAGAAGATTTTCTGAATTTGTTGCAGATGATTTTTCTTCTTGCGGATCTTTGGTAACTACTGCATTTTCTTTAGGAACATTTTTAGAAATAGGATTAGATACTGCTTCACATTCAATAATTTCGTCATCTAGATCGATAACATCAATAATGTCCTCGCGAACAGGGTTTTCCTCAGGTTGAAGTTGAGAAAATGACTCCTCAGGAATGTTTTCAAAAACATCTAAATAGTTGTTCAAATACCTATGCAAGCAAGGAACAAGTGTGAATATAGCATATTCTACTGCTCCATCAAACAAGTCGTCATAAGGAGGATTGGAAGACTTCTTGATTTGCTCCAGTAGATTTGATGGGATATAAACATAGTTTTTACTTCCAGACACAAGGTAATCACTGATGACTTTCCATGCACAACGGTTTGCCCATAAGCAATCAACTGTGTCATGAGAGAACCCATCATAGAATGGAAAGCATGCTTTAATGAAAGTGAGATATTTACATTGCTGAAAAAGCTTATTTATCAACAAGAAATTTTGAAAAACATGACCAGACAAGTCTTCATAGCTAACAATATTGATTAAAGTGTTCCTCAATTCTTCAACAGAGCAATTTTCCAAGAACTGTCTTGAAATAGTTCTTAATTCTACATGGTCCCAATCACTCACACCAGATTCATTTTTCACTGAGTAAGAATTTAACCTGGGATACCAATAAGAGGCAATATTCTTTACAAGAGACTCCATAAGTTTTTTCGAAGCCCCAGAATATGGTATACATGATATGTGATTTATTTGGTTAGGCCTAAAATATTTCAGCCTTACATCTTGTTGTGATTCTTTTGAAGGACCTTTGTATAAGTCAATCCAACAGAGATATTCAGAGAATCCGTTACATTGTCTAAGACGTTGGAAAAATATCATTACCTCATTCCAGACTGCAAGTTTTCTTGGCAAATACTGATTCAGAACTGATATGAAAATGTAGCTGAAGTAAATTGTTGATTGATAAAATGATGCCAGATCCACTAATTGACATGTTTCATTAAAATTCTTTGATGATAATACTGATTTAGTGGGGATTACATCACAGACGGTGCATTTGTAAATTGGCTGGTAGATCTTGTCATAGTGTATCTTTTCGTAGCGAGATAACTCAAGAAAGCTGAGACACTTCTTATCAAAGAATAGGGAGCAGGGAAATGTTGGGAGTGACAGGTAAGAATTAAAGGCACCACAAAGTAGTTCCTGGCCTCCAAGGTTAGCAATCTCTTCCTTTTTAGCATATCTGTGCATCCTGAAATGTATTCAACGTTAAGCTTTTAAAAACTTTTGGATAACTATTTCCTGTAGGAAAGATTTTATGTTCTATTAGTGGGTCCTCACAGCCCAACTAAAAGAAGCTATATCCAAACAACTGTTTTTCAATGTTAAGTGATACTGGGTACTTCTATGACAAACTTGAATATATAACGACATTTTACAAGAAAACTTTGAATCTTTACAATCTTTAAGAGAAATGGTGCAACACTACATGATACGTCAGCAACTGTACATTGAAGTTGTGCTGGATTTTGGAAACACAGTATCAAGAGACAGTGATATAAAGTGTGCCAAAAAAAGGGACCAAGTTATCAGTGTGGCAACCTCTTGACGCCTTTTAACAAATAGACGTATAATATCTCTATCAGTTTTTGTGCTATCAGCATCTTCTTGGTCTCAAAGTGGAAATCATGTTATGCTGAGCTTGGATAACCACATCATTTGCTTTAGAAACGCCTGGGTCCGTTCACCAACTGTGCTAATGTGAGTGGCGGTGTGGTAAGACCCATTTTTAACAGCGTGAATATTTATCAAATACAAGCGCGCTAGCTGCTAGCATAATTGTATCATCTAATTTTAAATCAAATTTATTCGGATATATATTTATTGATTATGTATTGAATTGGTGATAAATAATAAAATTGTCTTTTCTCAAAAAATTGTCTTTACTCAAATAATTCATGTAATAAGCAATTTATTGCAGGGTTTCATGTGCTGATTGCATACTTTATCTAACAGATCTGCTGACTCGTTAGCATGCAGCTAAGTACCGGGCAACTAATCAATAATAATGTATTGGTCAGCCAATATCACTTGAAGCTGACTAAATCCTGCAGCTGTTGACAGGGTGGATACAGTGGCGTAACGTTGCCTGTTGGCAACCCGCCGAAAAGGCGCCCCCTGTTGGCGCCCCTCCCCTTTTGGTGCCCCTCCCTTAAATTGAACAAAATTAGGCAATTTTAGAGGATACGCTGGTAAAATCTTTAAAAAAGTGTGTATCTAGAGCAAAACGCGCAGTTTTGCTAGTACTTTAGTTAAGTTTTCGAAATTGTCCCAAATTCAAACAACGGCGCCCCCCCCCCCCCCCCCCCCCCACAGCGGGGTCAGCGGGGCCCTTTGTTACGCCACTGGGTCAATCACATGATTTTCACGCAGTTCCTGCATGAGTTCAAGCTTTGGACTTTTAAGAGTCAATTCGGTTGCAGATTCTGTACACAATGCATTTGATTTAACCAGTGAAATGTGCTCAGCAGCAGCTCTATTACCTCTTTCAGAAGTCCAATCAGTGCCTATCTGACAGAAAAATGAATGGGCAAAATAAACAGGTCCCTGGTGGAGTTATGGATCACCCGATATTTGATATTGACTACAGTATTGGTCAAATTTCGCCTTCTACATCTCCGTGTTAGTATAGTGGTGAGTATACCCGCCTGTCACGCGGGTGACCAGGGTTCGATTCCCTGACATGGAGTATTTTACGTTCTATTTACCTTACATTTTGTATGAATTACATTTGTATGAATTATATCTCGAAGACCTGTCGTGTAAAATCCCCAACTAAAATACCAGCACAAAATATTGCCAAGTTAACTTTTAAAAATGTCAAAATTCATAATACTAGAATGTCAAAATAACCGCTCCTAGCTGGACTTGAACCAGCAACCTTTCGATTAACAGTCGAACGCGGTAACCGATTGCGCCATAGAAGCTTATATACCGGTGGAATAGATAATTATCAAAATAAATCGTGAATGTAAGGCGGTAAGATAAATATTAAGATCTGATTTTTTTAGTATTGAAAATGATTTGAATCCACTTTGAAATGGGACACTTTATACATTGGTAGCATAATTTATGACTTTAACAGTTAACACAAGAACTGCCGAATTTATAAATGTGTTTGGTCAGTGTCGGGGCATTGCCAATTACTTCAGTTTTGGTAATTTTGCAATTCGTCTTGTGAATTTTTGTGTTTATTAAGAATTAAATAGAAAATAATTTTGATTTCGTTTATTTTTACTAAGCTTATTTTTACAAAATATTTCATTTAATTCAATATGTGAATATTTTTGTAAAGTCTTAATTTCACGCTTTTGTGTTTTAGCTATGTCATATGTTAGACCGGACCCAAACCGTTTTTCGCGAATAAGTATAATGACATAACATGACACGATGACATATTTACAATTTACAGTGACATGATATAAACTGTGACAAACTTATTTTATCTTCGGCGGCGCGCGCTTCGCGCGCGAAAAGTGGCATGCAACGTATGTCAATTGTAATGAATGTTGTTATTATTATTATATGACCTAGCTTGTTATAGTTTATTATTGCTCGCTCCTCTCATTGCTTATGTAATACGTACGTATAATAAATCCGAGAAGCTCGAAAAGAGTGCCGTACAATGGGATCGGGATTGGCGTGCCAGGTTACAGGTATAGTAAACGGGTGATATTTGAACTAAAATATCTGTTCAAAAAAACCGTCGCGTCGACGAGTTCACCTTGGCGCGCGTATTACATGGTTTGTAGCGCGATGCACTACTGGGTCGCGCGCGCGCATCCAATAATGCTTCTCGCAACCACAGATCGGTGAGATGCGACGGATTGACATCGTGAATCAATACATGGTAGGTTATAAACCAACTTACGTACCTACAAAGGTATTGCTCTATCAACACAGGAGGACCAAAGTGCAAAAAAACTGCTGCTGACAGCTGCTGACTGATCTAAAGTTCGTGCTAGTTATATATTATTAATCAACTATTTACAGCAAACACAAAATAATAAAATCATAAAATCGAGTGGCCGAGTAGTCTCGACTCACCCATAACTTCTCCAAAGACGTCTATCATGAGCTTTGTACACTAAATCGTTGAAATTACTTAAAGTTAGTTATATATATATATATGAAATATATTTTTGTCTGCTTTAATTGATACTAAATAAAATTGTTGTTTTCTTGAAATTGTTGTTTTCTTGACTGCTGCTAACTGCTGCTGCTAACTAGTATAACTGCTGCAAATGGCGCTCGCGCGACAGCAGCAGTTAGCAGCAGCAGTTAGCAGCAGCAGTTAGCAGTAGTTAGCACATAGCAGCAGTTTCTTTGCACTTTGGTCCTCCTGTGTTAATTGACGATGTCAATTCATGGCAGCTCGGCGCGGCACAGTAGCGCATCTCGCCGATCTAGCCAGTGTCGCTGTGAGAAGCCTTATTGAGTGCGCGGCGCGGCACAGTAACGCATCGCGCTACAACTCCTGTGTAGTCCAGAACCCTTGCGCTTGCAGTGGCGCGCACCTTGCTCTATCCAGAGCCCTTGCACTTGCAGTAGCGCTGAGCGCGCGCCCGCCTCACGGCGGTTTCTTGACTTGTGAAACTAGCGCGCCCGCAGCGGCGCGATTGACCATTGTTAATGATCTGGCCCGGCGCGCGCTACTTCGTAGCACTTGCCATCCGGCGCTACTTCGAAAAAATTTAGACGAGTAACATCCGTCAACGGCGCAAAAGCACATGGTTAGGTGAAGCGCGCACTTGCCTCTTGACTTGTGAAACAAGCGCGCCCGAAGTGGCGCGAAAGATTCCAGGGATCGAGCCGATGAGTTGACCATTGTTAATGGTCTGGCCCGGCGCGCGCTACTTCGTAGCACTTGCCATCGGGCCATTTAGAGAAGAAAGCGGAGCGCGCTACTTCGAAGAAATAAAATTTAGACGAGTAACATACGTTAAGCCGATGAGATATTATTATCAGGTAAACTATTGTTAATCAACAAATCCGTATGCAGTATGACCATCCCAGAAAATGCACCCACTGCATGCAAACTCAGATCACGTGACTGCAGCTTTCTGGTTAGCCGAGTACAACGGCTTTTACTAATTCGCTTGCCCAAAAATTTCACGTGACTTTGGTTTTTACGGTTTTTCAGCCGTACAAAACGGTTTTACATAAACCCTAATCCTAACCCTAACCCTAGCCATAACCACGAAGCTAACCATAACCTTTACACTTTACCACAACCCTAACCCTAACTTGAGCCCTAAACAATCGAATTCATGTTTTACTACATACTAGCCTGACACGTGACCAAAACGGTTTTTTTGTTTTTGCCCATAACTCTCCGTGGAAGCATTTTTACCCAACGTCATGTGGGGTGATTCGGAATCAGCGTCCAAAAATACACCGATTCAGATCAATTTCACACTCAAAGGGCCTTTTCACATGTCACAAGAATTTTCTTAAAATTTGGGCGAGCGATTTAGTAGGAGCTTGTCATACGTTGTATGACCCGCCGCGTACGAAGTGCGCGGCTCCCCTGTATCGTGGGGGTCGCAACGTGATACAAGTAGGAGCGGAGTACAACACCACACATTTCAAATCTTCGCTGTTCTTTAAAGGACCTTTATTACTCTCAATTTAAGCTGTATATGCTAATGTAAGCACCCCCACACTTTTTTGCATAAACCTTTTTAAATCGACTACAAAACGCTTACCTGAGGACCTCAGGCTATCATGTTCATAAACATAGAGATTAGGCGGAATGACAGGCTGAGCGCGGCCCCAGTAACAAAACGCATGCTCATGAACTTGCAGAGGGAAATGACGATGACACATGGCCCAGTTTTCTTATTACATAACATTCCAGGACTGAGAAGATCACAACAGTTTTGACAGCTGTTAGGGAACATCTACTTAGGACGTCCGCCATGAAAATCGCAGATTTTCAGACCACTGCACCCCCTCCCCCTTACCTGTCCGGGTGTGTCCGAATTTTCAAAACCACCCCTTCCCCCGGACGTCCGGATTTCCAGCTACTTTTAAGAGTACAAATAAAACCAACTCAAATTCATTGTTAATAAAATTCAAAGAGTTAAAATAAATGAGACTTTTTCGTTAATTCTGCCAAAATTTCCGGACGTCCGGATTTTCAGAAACCACCCCTCCCCCTGTCCGGATTTGTCCGAATTATTCCAAAACCAACCCCCGGCCCTCCCTATTTGCCGGACGTCTTAAGTAGATGGCCCCTTACTGGATATAACGGTCATATTAGTTTAGTGAATTAGTTAATTAGTTCATTAGTCAATTAGTCAATTAGTCAATTACAAATTAGTCAATTAGTCAATTAGTCATATGGTTATTATTACATACTATATATTATATGACATTACAAAAATAGACTATAAGTATATATATATACATATATTTGACACACAAAAAAAAACAGAACAAACTGAGCACAGACTAGCGGCAACTAATATTAATGGATAAGCCACAGTCCACACATCCTAAATTCCACGTTCGCGTTCATATTTACACTGCCACATCACGATCACTATTCTCCTATCGCATATCAGCACAAACCGTAATTGATTTTAACAATCACAACACTACATATCCAAACTAATGGGCTCTTACTAATTGAAATTCGCTCGCCCAAAAATTTCTGCACGTGACTTTGGTTTTGCAGCCGTACAAAACGGTTTTACATAAACTCTAATCTTAACCCTAACCCTAACCCTAACCATAACCCCGAAGCTATCCATAACCCTTACCACAACCCTAACCCTAACCCTTACCTGGGGACTTGTAGCGCGATGCACTACTGGGTCGCGCGCGCATCAAATAATGCATCAAATAATGTTCTCGCAACCACATCTTCGGTAGATCGGCGAGATGCACCACTGTGCCTCACCGAGCTGCGAAGGATTGACATCGTGAATCAACCTGGGGACCTCAGGCTATTATGTATTACTATTATGTTCATAAACATAGAATAGAGATTCGGCGGAATGACAGGCTGAGCACGGCCCAGTAAAGTAAAGCAATGCACAGGAGGCCCACATACATTTTGACGTTATCGTGTTACACGGTGAATTTTCATTATTCACAGTTGAAGGCAACTTTTGGTACCAAATTTATCAAAATCAGAGACAAAAAATTCTGTGCCAACTCATGGCGCTTGTTACATAGACTAATACCCAAAGGGCCTTTTCACAAGAATATTCTTAAAATTTGGGCGAGCGATTTAGTAGGAGCGAAACTGGAAACTAATGGCATAGCAGTATCTGCGATATCATAACTCAGTCTAGTTCGAATCAAACTAAGCGTGGCCGTGAGTCTTAAAAGTAAATGGAAAAATCAAATAAATGGAATGGAAAATGGTCTCGAAAAGCCGAAAAAATGTGACAAAAATTGTTGTAGACTAAAAATTTGCGACTAAAATTGTGGTAACCAAAATTATGGTAACCAAAATTATGGTAACCTAATTTATTGTGAACCAAATTTATTGTATTTGTAGATATTTTGATTACATAATATGTGAACGACCCCTTAGTGAAATCTAAGGTAAGTAATCAACAAAAGTAACTAAGTGGCCATTTTTTGTTAACTTGGTGGAAGTTGTCAATCACCTAATATTGTATAGATCAAATTTCAATTCGGACATCTCCGTGTTAGTATAGTGGTGAGTATACCCGCCTGTCACGCGGGTGACCAGGGTTCGATTCCCTGACATGGAGTCTTTTTACATTCTATTTGTCAAATTTTTTCCCGGAATTTTCCTAAATTACTGCTGATTTGTTTAGTATATATGCAATCCTCTAATAGTCCAATTATAGGTGGTCCAATTATAGATTGTCCAATTACAGGTAATCCAATTACAAATAGTAAGTAGGCTGGTATGGGGAACTCATGTCCCACGTATTGCGTATGACGTAAAACTGTAAAACATTATCGAATATAGGTAATATGGGGTCGTTCACATATCAGTAATCAGCCGAGGGGATAGGGGGCTGGTGGTTTCCAAATGATTACGGTAGTGTAATTTTGACACAATAGCTATTTGTAAAACTGATTACGTACGGACTACGGAGGGGGTCAACCATTGTCCAAAAAGTGATTATATAATATGTGAACGGTCTGATATGGCGGAGTGGAATGCTGAAAAAAAAATTGAAATTAGAGTCGGATTTGTAAATTTTAAACTTTCGGCATTGCTCACATTTATCTCTAAACAAGTTTTAAGTGAGAATAAACACTATTATTATATACACCGTCACGTATTTTCTTTTAATTACATTTTCGGCCTATTTTAAAAACCAGCCGTGGTAATCCCCAATTAAAATTAATGGCACTAAAAATTGCAACTTAACTGTTCAAAGTCAAAATACTAGAATATCAAAAGACTCGCTCCTAGCTGGACTTGAACCAGCAACCTTTCGATTAACAGTCGAACGCGCTAACCGATTGCGCCATAGAAGCTTATTTGCCTACAAAACAGATACCTAGTGATTTCAATGTAAGACGGCCCCATGTAGTGTAATGTCAAAATTTGATTTTTTTCAGTTCTGAGAGTGATTTGAAATTAATAGCAAGAAAGTACAATATTGATTAAGTACAAACTACTGGTTCCTGACAACAAAGTGCAATATAGCTGAAAAGGCTGAACTTGTATTGTTAAAGCTTAAGGTTAGAACACAGAACATAGTATCAAGTATAGAAGGCGGGGGCCGGGACCGGTGAAACCAACAACACGAGACTGAAGCCCGGCAGTTACCCGGAAACTTGCCCTCCTAAATTTAATGGAGGAAGTAGGTTCTAGTAAATTAATTCTTGCCTGTTCTTCAATGCTGCTATTGTTTCACTATAAATGTTCATTTTTGAAACTTCGATCGAACCAGTCCATAATACATACATGGTCCATGCAAACCTAAATAAAATACAGCCTGTATCTTTAACTGATCTATGAAAGTGAAACACTGAACTCCCGATCGGCTATTGTGACTTTGAATATTAGAACCTGGTCAGCTTCAGTAGTCATTTTAACACATAGCAACGACGTAACTGCATCATTTATCCCATTTTTAACCAACTTGGTAAAATGTAGTTTAATAATAACTGGTCCTCCAATGTTACACTGTTTGGCTCTGCCATCCACCAATCAGTGTAATTCAATGAAGTTGTTTGAAAATGTTTATAATTTTTGAAAGATCATCTTTTTGAAAGATAATCCACTTGTAGCATAGTTGACATTTTTTATCTAAAGATAATAAAAGAGGTTCTACCGAGACTCGAACTCGGATCTTTGGATTCAAAGTCCAAGGTGCTAACCATTACACCATAGAACCGTGAACTCGATTTGAATTATTTTCACAATAATGAGAAAAAAAAAACATGTAGCTTTCCGGCACGATAATAATTTCGTATTATTTTTTAAATTTCAATAAAAGGAATAAGCTTGGTTATCAGATGTAAAAATGATCTTTGATACTTGGATAAATGTATACTTAAAAATATATTCAATTCAACGTCCTCTCTTTATAAGTTCAAAACGATTGAAAGTTTATATAATTAAATTTGTCAGTATGGAGAGCGTTTTGAAAATGCTGTTCAAAATTGAGAAAAAAAAGATTAAATCGTTCTGCGAAGAAGCTAATAATCAAAGCAGTTCATGACACTATTAAGAAACCTTTCCTTGATATCGTACTTGTTCGAAAAATAATACAGATATTATTCATAGTCAATGTTATTACAGCGAAAAAAGTCATAAATATATTATTCTAAAGCATGATGTCATTTTCATGTTGACAATAAAGAAGCTGCCACATCACTGAGCTCAGTAGTATTACATGAAATCAGGCCGTGCATTATTCACGAGACTTGGACCTGGACTTGGACTTAGACACACTCTTTCCCCGAGACTTTGACCTCGACTTGGACTTGGATTTGGACTTTGACCTGGACTTAGACTTTGATTTGGACTTGGAACGATCTCTTGCACCACGGGATCTGGATCGGGACTTAGACTTGGATCGGCTTCTACTCCTGGACCTGGGAATTTAAGAATATAATAATTTGGAATATAAACCCAGCAAGATCACGGTGACAACATGAGGTGGATCTTTAAATCGATTGACCTAGAAATCTAGTTACCTAGTTACTAATCCAATTAGCTAGTTACTAAGCTGGTTACTAAGCTGGTTACTAAGCCGGTTACTAAGCATCAACCGGAGTTCGGAAATTTCAAAACTTTTCGGACACTTTTTTAGTTTGCTGACATCTAGCAATACAACCAGCGCGGCGGTCGGAAATTTCAAAATTGTTCAGTAAAATTTAAATTCTCCTGTTTGCCATTCGGTTTCGGTCTGGCAAACTAAGCAACATGTACCCCATGATCAATGATGTAACCTCTAGTATCTTCGCATAGTCTCCAATTGTGCTAAACAATTACAATGGAGTCTGCGGTCAGATCAACTCATAATAGTGCTCCATTGTCTTAATCAGTTCCCATTAAGATTACATTCACACAACATATAGTTGAACAGCATGAGATAAGTGGAAAACAAACGAACGAATAGTCATCAAGTTCGTAAAGTTCGGAAATTTCAAAATTGTCCAAGTAAATTTTTCAACTATTGAACATTTTATTTCGGGTAATTGACTAACATGCCGGGATTTCGGGGCTGAATAAGATGTCTCGCGATCCGATTTACTTCGAATTTCAGGGTATAATAGCATGTGCAGGCCCATGCTATTGCCAAATGAAATAAATAATTGGCTTTTAGCACCGCATTTTCAAATAATTGAGGTTAAAAAGGGATTAATTTAAAATGTCCAGAAAGATACAGAAGCCTGAAAGTTTCTTTTCTATACACCCGGTTTCGGTACGGCAAACCGGAAAATAGATTGATATCCGGCCATTTCCGGTTCGGCAGCCAAAACCCCAGACTTGTTGGTACCTAAACTTAGTTATTTATTTATTAACATGGTAAGCTGGTTACCAATCTGGTAACCTGGTTACTAACCTGGTAACCTAGTAACATAACAAATACCCTTATACCTGGCTTGTTAACCTAATGACCTGACAACCCTTGCATTACAAGAGTTGTCAGGTTACAAGGCTTGTAACCTTAATATACTAGTTACCTAGATCGCTTGCTCTTCTTAGGAGTGCGGCTGCGGCTCCTGGACCCACTCCTGGATCTCTTGTGAGATCTGCTCCTGCTCCTGGACCTGCTCCTGCTCCTGCTCTTGCTTCTACTCCTGCTACGGCTGCTGCTCCTGCTTCTCGAGGAGGAGCGCGAGTATTTGCTCCTTCGGGGAGATCGTGACCTGTCAGAACAATGTATTGTAATTCCGGAAAATTTAATTTAAAAAAAAACAAACTAACTCAAATCAATATGCACGGTCATTTGTCAAGGTGTTTTAATAATCCACAACAAAATTATGCAATATATTACCTGCCGCGACAGTCTCTGGCAAAGTGGCCGTATTTATCACACTGGTAACACTTTACGTCATCCATATGTCTGAAATGGAACACTCATATTAGTTTATATGTTAGTTAAGATACAAACACTTTAAAACCAATAAGTACAAGGTATTTCCTTCATCGTGTACAGAAAAGTAAAATCTACCATACGCTCATTTGAGTAGGACAATGGCTTTCGGGGTGGTTTGTTTAGGCACATTAAAGGTCGGATTTACCACATCTGATACTTGTACACACTACACAGCATATCTTAGATATTTTTATTTAATGGATATTTCCTACCGTTCAGTCGATTCAATCCTATTCACCAACATGACAGCCATACAATATACCCGTACTCTATGGCCAATACATCGGCTCAAGTTAACAGAAACAGCATGAATAATGAATACCATATTAGTGGTAGATATGTCAATCCATTCAAAAGACAGTTTGCTTCCATATTGCACTAAGACCTATCAGCTTCCCTTGTTTACTCTATCCGGCCAACATGACGATTTTAAATTACAATTCCACGCGGTCGAAACGTTTTTGTGTGTTTGGCAGGGCGCCAAAACAGTCACCGGTTATAGACAATTTATAAGACTTACCGTGACGATGAACCGTCAACAAACAAGACCCACGTTACATAGCGTGACTCGTCACGCAAATCGTCACGCAGTACGTCACGTCACGTTAGCCGTCACGCGTTACGTCACGTCACCCGTCACGCGTTACGAACAATAAACGCTCGTAATTGTGCGGGCGGGTCGTCACGCCCCGTACGATCAAAGCTCTTAAGACTACAACCCGTAACTCGCGACCCGTATTATACACTGCTGTAAAAGTTTCACAGTCGTCTTATCATTGTTTTAAAGTCTCTATATATTTTAGATACAAACCTTTAAGCGGGTCCGGTAGAGGTCCAGTTCCAGGTGTCTATCAGCTCCTACTTATTGTTAGCACCCACCATGTAGGGTGGATATTACACACCCAATATTATACACATGAGACACTGGGCCAAATCTCTAGTTAAATGAAAGGATACAAATTAAAAAAGGAAGAGTAGGATTACCTGCGACCACCTCCTTCGCGACAGTCCCTGGCGTAGTGACCGTATCTGTTGCACTGGTAGCACTTGATGTCGTCCATATTGGGTCCTCTGTAACTACTTCTGGAACCTGGGAGAATGATTATTGTTAAGCTTTTTAGTAACCTTTGTGAGACGTAAAGTAAGCAGCTTGTTGGTATTTATTTGTAATTTAGAGATTTGTTTTGATTTGTTAGGGAGTTTTTAGGATTTATGTTACTTTTTAAGCCAGTAAATCAACTAAAACAACAGTATCATTCCATTAATAAGATTAAAGAAAAAAATTACTACAAAATACTGAATTTGTTTATTGTTAAAAAATTACATGATTGTCCGAGCAAAACAGTCATTAAATTATAGCCAGTATATTATATTACACATACATTACACATTCGACCGTTGTAAGAAACAGAAAAAAAAAACAGTACAAATATAGCAATCTATAAACATTATAGCCAAACAGTGATAGACTGATAAAGTTACCTTTAACGCAATAGTCAACGAATAATAACATAATAGGGATTCTAAAATCGATAAAAACATGGCAACAAACTACTGAAAACTTGCATAAAACGTGCATGAACAATGAACATGCATAATATCCCAAGATCTACAAGAAAGTATTGCTATCATAACCCAACACACATTACGCAAGGTTCTCAGTTCACTTCAACGCAAATTCGATGTATTTAACAGCCAGATCCTGGAAAATGCTCGGTAAGCAATCCTTCAACTTCTTGATAAAGGCATCCTTCCCTCCAAACACATTAACAGTTTCTTTAACCTGGCTGAACGTCATACTGCCTCCCTCGTCTAGGAACACTTTTAGAAACTTTTCAGGTGACGGCTTCTTCAGCTTTTTAGCGTCGGCCGTTGCTCTGGTGGTATCTACAGAGGTGTTGCTATATCTATCTGACTGGTTAGCCAATACCCTGATAATGAAATCCTTTATCTGCTCTCTTTTATTCACTGTGGTAGCAGCCTCTATCTTCTCGCTGACAAAGTCTTTCAGTGCGACGTTGGAGTCATTAGCGAAATCCTCTTGGAGTGTCGTAAGTTGCTCGTTTGTTCTCCCACAGAACACTTCACAGAGCAGAGAGGGGTTGAGCTGGTTGTTCGAAAAGGCATCTTTTACCTTCTGGACTTCAGTCATAGTTGGGTAAACAGGGGAAGTTTTAACCTTAGATAAAATGAAGCGTCAACAATCGGTTACGAAGGAGAATTACGACAGTTAAATTAGAAGTAACATTAAAAACGAGCTGAGGATACTACTGTGTACTATGCATATACTGTAGCACTACAATAAAAATAACTGCAGCAATGTTCTGCATATAATGTAGCACTACCATGAAAGATAACTGCAATGTTCTGCATGCCCTTCGTAGTTAGACAACAAATTGCGTGTCAACCACTTGGTTACGAAGGTATATTATGAAGTATTTGATAAGTTAACCGGTAGTTATTAGCAAATCTGATGACATAAAATGCACTACACAATACAAATTGTTGTCAAATCTTAAACATATTCCACTTCTAGATGGGTGGGTCTCAAACCTCTCCAATAGAAAAGAAATAACGAGGGTCTAATTGGAGGCCTATTCACATTTCACTTATGTACTAACAATTTAACACGCCATTATTAAGTCTGGTTGATATTATGGAAAGAGACGAAAAAGATAAAAAGCTTTTTCAAAACCAACATTTTCAAAACGAATTTATTGGCAGTTCCTATTTCTTGTTGCGTTGCTTTTATCTTGCTCTGCTTTAGATCACCAAGACCTCGTGGCTCGTAAATAATTTAACTTGAAGGTGTTAAATTGTTGAAGTAGAAGTTCAAGTAACGAATCAGCACAGAAGAGTGGTCATGAGCAAGTGAGTACCGAGTAAAGATACAGGCAAGGGCCCGGAGTTAAGGTAACGGTAATCTCTTGCATAACCACCACATTGCACATAGTACATTGTGATTTACATACAGAATACTGCACTATATAGATAGTACATTGTGAGATATACTGTTCCTGCAGGGGGCCTGGGGGACCAGTTTTGAAGCAAAACCAGTTAAAGATGGTGTACTACGTTTAAAAAGTTATCCACACTTGCGTGCGAAGTAACTAAACCAAATGGCGGGTATAAATAATTGCCAGCACTAACTAGCCCGGTCTCATTAATAAGACAACAAAATAACGAGCCGCTCGACAATTACATGTTCTGGATCTCGGAAATGGTCGGCTCACAGCTTGTGTACAATACATTGTAAAATGTATATAAGATGCGAAACGAATGTACAAACTATTGCTGAGCTGTAGAGGGAAGAGCAAGTGATCGGGGTTTAAACTGAGTTTTAACATGGGGTTGCCCTATCAACAGGGCAAATTGTACAGCTACTTGTACAGCTTCCCTCCTAACACACAGCTGACCACTGTTGTTCTCCCTAGTTGTTCTCCCTAGTTGTTACAATGTTACATGAGATTCCATGAGGTGGTGATGATAGTGTCTACAGTGGCGAAGGTGGAGAAGCTATTGTTCCAGGGAGACTAGCGGACTCCATGTTGTTTAGTTGTGTTTGTTTTGAGGGGAAATATTGAACTGTACGCTCTAAACTCGAGGAGGAATTCTTTAAGGTTGAGATATATATAATTGTGTGGAATGAAACAGAACGAGCAAGTCTGTAATAAGAGAAGATCAGATGCTGGTCCCAACTATGTTACAATCTTTATCAAAAGAAAAGGAATGCTATCGAACTCTACGTGAACAAAGCTCCTTTAAACCGAGAATGTAGTAGATCAGCTCCTTAAAACGAAGAATATAGCTGTAATGAGAGTAGATCAGGTGGCCGTGTCCCGGCCACGTCATAGTATTTATAGAGAGAAAAGGAATTTTCAACTCAGCAACTGGCGTTAGGTTACATCGCTGAGCTAATAACAGGTGGCCTCTACCAAAAATATAGGGTAAAACGTTAGCGTGGGTGCAGAATCGCACTATTGAGTCAATAGAAAGTTCATTATTATTATTGTCAGGTGGCAATCAGTACTATAGATATTTAAAACAAAAGAGGGTGCATCTTATCTTGGCAAATGAATAACTACATCTTGATAAAATTAAACCAATAAAACTAAAAGATACTCTATATATAATCTCAATAAACCTGTGGGTGTGTGTGTGTGTGTGTGTGCTCGTGTGTTTGTAATTTACGAACGACTTAATCAAGAAAACAGTAATAGTTATGGGATTGGTTTTTCGGTATAGGTTCGACAAAACTACGAGAAAGCTCGTTAGCGTGGGTGCAGAATCGCACTATTGAGTCAATAGTGCGACCTAACTACGAGAAAGCACGTTAGCATGGGTGCAGACTGCACTATTGAGTCAATAGTGCGACCTAATGCCGCACTTTTCGCACCATAGGCAGTTTTTTGTTCTCGTTTTGTTTAATGAGATAAGATCGACATGTCCATATAACTATGGAGTATGGTTGGTGTCAAACGTTTTTCATGTAGTTACATCAAAATGATCGGAAAGTAGAATTACTTCTTCGTAAGCAGGAAAAACATATGTTGAACAATTTATCTTCCTAAAAAATATTCCTAGAAAGTTCATTATTATCATTGTCAGGTGGCAATCAGTACTATAGATATTTGAATCAAAATAAAAAACAAAAGAGGGTGAATCTTGGCAAATGAATAACTTGTTAAGTTGGATCACAATCCCTCAATAGATTGCAATTGAGCCACTTTAGATTGTATACAAGATCTGCCGGTATGTGGACTATGTGTTGGAATCTAATGTTGTAAAGCTAAAGAATGCTCCTCACCATGCAGCCCGACAAACCCCTAACCCCAGTCATCCTGACTGTAAAACCTTCTATGAGGATAATTCTACATTTTTACATCTTGAATTATCAGGAAACTCAGTGTAAAAGATATTAACCTTAGTAGTTCATTTAAATGGAACAAATAATATATAAGCAATAAGCATGGTCATATTCAGATCATGTTATATTTCGAACGGAGTCTACAGTTCAAAACATGCTCCTGACTTCTCTCCAGAAAACGGTAAGAGTTATGGGACTGGTTTTTCGGTATACCGTATAGGTTTGACAAAACTACGAGGAAGCAAATAAGCAATTAAAAAAAAATCGGCAGGTGGTAAGTGGTTTAATTGATGGTTTTGTACCCCAAATGTGATACTAAAGTGTCTCACTTTTCTCACACTTTCTCTCTCTCTCCCCATTAACAACTCCCCTAATTACAGCCTTGGTACATAATTACTAATTAGGTAATAAGCCGCAAGATTGCATATGAAGTATAATTATTGGATACGTGAGCGGCGCTCTAATGTGGCCGGTTTCAACTGAGCGAGTTTATACTTTTGCACTTCAACTGCAATAATGAAGTCCCAGCCGTAGGCACGCCGCACGGGTTACACTAGTAGAGTTATAACTTTGAAAGACGTCCGCGTTCAAAGTGCAGTGTTGAATGTAAAATACTCCATAATATAAGAATAGAACACAATAAAAGATAAAAAAGTTGTAACTTAAATTTAGTCCATCTTGTGAGTAAGTTGCCCCAAACAAGCGGAAGGACAAATTTGCTCCTTCTACAGTTCTACTGGGTATAATTATAATATCTGTCAGCAACGTCAGCTCAATTACTGCTAATTAATTAAAGCAAGTACTACAGTAATATACGGGAGTTGGGCAGTGGCTACTGGCTTGGTAAGTAGTAAGTACTAATTACTGCTAATTAGCAGTACTGCTAAGTAACAGAGATATTGAGCACCAACTCAGATTGTTGGGTTAATTCGTTTCGTCAGAACTTGTAAGCCTTGGAATATCACGAGATAAGTTATGTGATACGAATTACAAACAACAACAAAACATTAAAAGTATCAGTAAAAAAAGTGAAAAAATTGGATAATGTTATTTTTGTAAAATAATGTAAGATAAATTAGTGTAATTATATAATGAAATCCTAATACGATAATATGTTATTGTACAATATTTCAAGATCAAGTAAAATACAGCAAAGTGCTGATACAATCAAGTAACTATTTGTAAAACAAAGTAAGATAAATTGTGAATATATTAAATAAGTTATTTCTAACTAACTCCTTCAAACTCAATAAGAAGCTCACCTCTAGAATCAGAGCCCCTTGACACTGAACAGTGGAATTTTTTAAATATAATAATTCAGTAATTTAATAAATTAATTAAATATAATAAGAACTTGGATAAAAACAACTGGATAAAGTTAAAGAAATCACCAAAACAATTACATAAAATTTGCTCGATATTGTTAAATATAGATACAGTTAACAACAATAACAAGATATTGCAGAATCATGTAAGATACAGAAAGATACAGTAAGATCTATCTATTTAAATATGAAGTGAAAAATGTTGCAAACCTCGGTCACCTCGGTCCCCCCGCTCACCACGTGAGTCGGAACCACGAGCGTAAGAGGGTATCTCCCGCCTGGGTCTCTTAGCCCACTCAACCTCAACACGGTATCCGTCTATCTTCGTGCCGTGCATCTTGTTTATTGCTTCCTCCGCTGAACATAATTTTAAAGATAACTGAACTCGATTTGAATCATTTTCACAATAATCAGAAAAAAAACATAACTTATTTTTAATAAACCTGATTCAAAACCCTTAAACGGGTAGCCTTCGAGGTCTTTTAATCAATCAATCAATCAATCAATCAATCAATCAATCAATCAATCAATCAATCAATCAATCAATCAATCAATCAATCAATCAATATCAATCAATCAATCAATCAATCAATCAATCGATCAATCAATAGAGTGTGAACTTTAGGTTTATGTTCAGATATCAATCATCAACTATTAGAGCTAAATAGGAGTTATTGTCACAAAATCATTTTATAATCCAAGAATTGGTTCATGAGTAGAACAAAGTGGTTTATGGAAGAGGTTTTCAGAAACAAAATTCAGTAGAATATGTATTGAACACATTACAACACCCAGCAATATCAAGAATATAAAGCCAAAACCAAAACCAGACCGTGTAATAACACTCAACGGCTCTTTTCAAGCGAAGCTGTGCGCGGCTTTAATAAACACACTGTTCTTCTGAGCGCTGACAATATATACTATAATTACTACTGACGTAACGTAGTGCTCTCCCTCCGGGCTATTATCAGGCGGCTCTTATACACGCAAGGAAATATTTTTAAAATATGGCTTATATAAAGCCAACTTTTGCATCACATAGGATACGGTTATTATTATCGCTGTCAGACTGATCATCTCATCCTTCCGAACTGATCACTCGAAGGAATATGTCAGACTATGACATAGAAAGCAGGGGATATCAGCCAATTATAACTGAACTTCTGCAGGGACTAACCACCAATACGAGTTGACTTCTGATAACCCAGTGATAATAATAATTGTTTTGGATATATTACTATTACATTTTATTCAGCTAATTCTTTAATAATTTAAGTTTTATTAGTTCCTCGAACTAAATTGTACCGAATGACTGACTTTAAACACATTTAAATCGGTTATTAAGGCTCTTTTTCACATGAGAAATATTCATAATCATTTGACTCTTTTTTAACGTTAGCTGTCAATAAACATAATGTCCAAGAATATTTTAACCTCTCAAATGGTTGGATAGAAAAATAGCTGCTGATAAACTTATTTGGCAGATTTTGTATAAACAGCTATTTTTATACAACTAAGGTAACTAACCATCTCTACTGCGTATGAACTCAATGAAAGCGTATCCAAAGGGCCGTTTTGAGAGCCACACTTCGTCCAGTTCTCCGTAGTACTGGAACTCTTTCTCCACTTTCCGGCGGTCCGGGTCTGGACCTAATCCGGCTATGTACAGACGAGGCATTTCCTATCAGTGTTACAAATTAGTGGTTCAAACTTAAATGCTTAGAAATTAGAACCGGACACCCGGATTCAATTAGAACCGGACCAGAAAACTTGGTTTGTTTGGAGATAAACTGGTCCGAGTTCAAAGCTTAATTTCCAATATATATTATCATAATCCTGGTCAAGAAGGTACTGTTTAAATTTAATGAATATTCCAGACTGTTACAATTTTCAATTTCTGATGAAACAAAATTAACATTTAATGAGTCAAGAAAACGATATAAAGTGCTGTTAAAAACGATCAATATAATATGATATAAGAGTAAGAAAATAAATCTTCTCAAAAACGCGCGCCATTCAGCAGCATCTAGCAGCACAATAAATAACACTCCAGATATTCGCATTTTTGGTTACCATGGAAACTGTTATCTGCTAACCACGACATACTGTTAAATGTTAACTGTTAACCATGATAACATGTTGACCGTCACTATGACAAGCTGTTAAATGTTAACGACCCGTCACAGAACGAGGTCTTGGATTAACAGTCGTTTACAATAAATCGCGGTTAGATTGACATTAAAACAGTTTGGACATGAATCACAAATCTTGACAAGATGATCAGGCTCAGACGAAATCTTGCAATCCTAGAAAAACCGTTAGAAAAAAAAGCTAATTTTCAAAACTGCAATCTAGCGTTCTTAATCCTAAATATGAAGTCTAGAGTAGACTCAAACCACCAACATACCCCATATTAACCCCAACCGTCCTGGCCTCGAATCTGTCAAAAATACATATCCACACTCCGTAGGACTCAAATGATACAGATAACTCATTATAGATCAGGTAGATATAAACAATCTTTAAATGTTAAATAATTAATTGCTTAAATATTGGCGGACTTGAAAATGATACAATCGGCGAGACGGACCATGCAAAATATATGTCATACATATCAAATCATGGGAATCATATTAATCAAATGGGATCAAGAGCACATCACGTCCGTTTCAGGCAAAGCAAGTTCTCTTCAGGCAAAGCAAGTTCTCTTCAGGCAAAGCAAGTTCTCTTCAGGCAAAGCAAGTTCCCTTGTTAGGGGATGTTTTGTGAATGACACTGAGTAAGCCAAGATCTTGGGTGTTAATAGGTTTATAAATTGGTTTGTTTATCTAGATATAAAGTGCACACTTTTTGGAAGTTATGGCTATGCCATCATTTTTTAAGTAGAGGGTAAAAGAAACTGAGTATTGGATTATTTCAACCACGTGACTTTATTTGCTTTTTTGACAATGTAAAAAGTTGAGTTCTCATGTGTACGTTAGAGGCCTTTTTGAAATAAGGTGCACTGATTTTAGACTTGCTTTGCTAAACGAAACGGACTAAAGATATGCACGTATAAAATTTACATTTTTACATTAATATTAAATAATTTATTAAATTAATGATTAGATAAATAATTTAAATAATGGATAGTGATATATTATAGACGGAAATATATCATATAATGAAAATGAATGAAACGGGTGATTTTCAGCATTTAGTGTACAATAAGTATGCTTTACATGCGCTCATGGTAAAGTTAATTGAGTTTTGTCCCCAAGTTGCATTGAGAAAAGGTGTTTTGCAGCTTACAGATAATAATTTATTACTAGCACCTTGTCAATTCAAAACCTATATCAGCGAAATAACGTCTATTAAATTAAACTATGAACATATACTTGCACTATACCATCATTCGATTATTAAAAGAATAAATTACTATCGCACTATCAGATTTTTCTGAAATAGCAGTCTCTTTTCATAGCAGCTTTTCGATTTCAGAATGATTCTATGCTCAGCTGTAATGCCCCTGTTTTTTGTAATTTCCAAATCCTGTTTGGATTTTAACATGTAGTAAGACATTAAAAACTTACATTTCATAAAACACGCATAAACGCACACTGCAAAACGTAGAAAGCCAACACACCTCAGATTATGGGGGACCAACCCCATTTTTTGGGGGTCGTCCCCCTCAGATAATGACACACTGCAAGTGCTTCACACCAGATATAGTCAGTTCAACCGCAGGAAAATGAATTCAGGTCAGGTTCGCGTAAGTTAGTGCCATCTTTGAAAGATCTGAATTTTTTGTATTGATACAAACAAACAACCCGGCTTTCCTCAACTGATTCACAACTTAGTGAATCCTTCAAACGTCGAAACATTTTACTGTTTCCTGAAATAATTGCGACAATCCACAACATGTCTCTTACACGAACAACAAGAATGTATGAACAAGCGGACACATCCCCAAGCAACACTGAAGTTGTAACTGAGGTCACGTGACTAAGTTTGTTCGGATTCAGTTTGTGGTATTTTGTTGCCGGGGGAGGCAGCGGGGCTGCATATCTCCTGTTTTAGGGTGTTGACGAAGGGTCCGAGGAGAATGTGGGGCCTGTCTCCTCCGATAGTGACGTCAGTGCGCTGCTGTGAGGACATGCTCAGAGAACCGCCGCGCGTGCACGTGCGGCGCAGTCTCCGCCTGTATCCTCCATTCTGAAACTCCTTTATACTGTCCGGTCTGACTGTCCAGTAGTGGCCCTTGCCGCTCTCAGCCCGGCCAGCCTTCATGAAACAGTCATTTAACGAGAGGTTATGCCTGATGCTATTCCGCCAGCCCTGGCCCTCCAGTCTATAATACGGATACTTATCCATGATAAACCTATAGATATCACCTAGCAACAGCCGTTTGGACTCCGAGTTCAATATCGCCATGGCGATCATAGCAGGGTAGGATATGGTTGGTTTGCGGAGACCCAGACGATCTGACTCAGTTCCAGACATATTACCGGTGTCCTGGTCTGAATTACGTTCAGAGTTGTTTAACATATCCTCCAAGTCTATCGTCAGAGGCTCTTTGTTCACACCTGTGATAAATAATGTTAGAGTCCGAGATGAATTATCAACAGAAATGCTAAACTATACATCTTGAAATATTTAATTCTAAAATAAACGCTTCTTAATTTGTAAAACGAACCTCCTAAAGTTATAATCCCCTCTGATTTGTTAACTTTGTTCTCCTCACTGAAATCCTCGAACTGTTGTATGGGCAAGCCATGCGAGTCATTAATCGTCTGCAGCAGGTTCTTTCTCCCCAGATCAGATGCAGCTGAAGACTCCACCGTGGTTGTCGGGGCGGCTATTTTAGCAGTGGTGCTTGTAGCGCTCGCCTGGGACGTCTCCAAGTGGGAGGTCAATAGATTTATCTGGGAAGGGCTTAGCTTCTGCAGTATGGAGGTCTCGCTGAGGTCCCCGCTGCTGGAGAGACTCTGCAGCTTGTCCAGTAAATCCTGAGTTTCGGATATTGTGTCGATATCCATGGGTTCTGACATCCTTGTTTCAGGGTTCGATATGGGGGAGGTGTTGATGGTGGGTGGGGTGGAGTTGAATTTGCTGCTGGAAGTTTCGACGTTTAGAAAAGCGGTGACATCTATTGGTGACCCAGGGTTATCCTTGCTGCCACTTTTGGGAGAGCTGGTGATGTTGAGAACCTCGCTAGATACCTGGAGGACATCATTGAGCTCGTTAGTGTACTCTGAGAATGTGGTGAGACACATTGGAGTAGAGGTGGGGAGGGAGGTAATGGGCACTGCTTCAGGAGGGTTGGGAGTAGTAGAGGAGGGGGTGATGGGCGAAGAGGGGATTGTAGGACCTTTAGGTTTGGTAATCTGAGTGCTGTGTGTTGGCGGTTGCTGTGCTCGACTGGTAGGTTGCGTCTCTGTGGAGAGGTGATATGAAGGCAGACTAATGATAGGAGCCTGTTGGGAGACATGCTGCTGAGCGAGTTGTTGTTGTTGCTGTTGGATCTGTTTTATCTGCTGCTGTTGGGCTTGGTGTATCTGCCTCTGTACCGTCTGCTGGTGCCGCTTGGGCTGCTTAGCAGGTTTGGCTGTCTCGTATGTTGGGGCAGATACTATATTGATAGGGTTCGGTTGAAGGGAGTTGCTGTAGAGCTGCAGCAAGGATTGCCCAAGTGGTTGTGATGATATCTCGGGCATATCTGTACATTTCTTGGCTGAAACATTTATCTTTTAAAGTTGGCCCAGGTTTATATATGCTCATTTAGTAAATTTCTTTCCCCCAACAAAGCCGGTAAATTAGGTTTTTACTGTATGAAAGTCTAATTACTTTAGTTTTAAAGAGATTCCTGAGACGATGTAACGTTACCTTTGTTCCAGTTTGTAAATATGACATCAGCCGTCCGGATGGTGTTGCTACATGCAGCAAGCAGTGCACGAAGGTTATCGGACGGAAGTACAGACTGGTGAGTATCTAGGACTGACTCCTCGAGCAAGCTGGCGTGCGGCTTGAAACCATCGAAATACAACTGACTGGAGAGGAGAGAAATAAGAATTTGACGGGAAAATGGACTTTGCAAGAACTTGCCATTCATAAAAAATCGATGAGATTTATAATTTTCAAATATGTAATGTTCCTGAATGTAAATAAAAACATCTCACCTAATGATTAGCTGATAAAGGAACTGCTTCTCATTTGGACAAGGCATATTGTCCTTACGCATTCATGTGCTGCAGCTATCAAGGGTAAAACCGGGTAAGTTTTATATAAAATACAATAAATTTGGAACAGTTTGAATTTGGTAAAGAATAATTAAATAATCAATTAGAGTAATCTTTCCGAAAAGGAATTCAATAAAATACCCTTTCAATAGAGACAATAAACGACTGAAAGATGGAAAATACCTCACTGCATGGGTGTAGAAACGGATACGTGAATTCCAATACAATCAGGACTGTGTACACATTACACAAACATACGCCCAATACCCAATTAATTTGCGAGGGTATAAACAACACCTGCAACTTAAAGTAAATAAACAACAGGTCCCTATTTTAATTAGAGGATTGTTATGTCTTAACGGATAAAAACAACGGGTTTAGCATTAAAAATCTCAGGTGATATCATCACGTGATAACTATAGACTAGCTTATTCTGTAATCTGTAGATCTGTTACTTGAGAACGGAGCCATTCGCAACGGGATAAATTCTTATGTTATGCAAACCCTCCGAAACTATATCTTAAACCTAGGTTTACCGTCTAAAACTTAAATCTATTTTCTCAACTAAATCCAGACAAAAAATCTGATTAAAAGTGGTTTTTGGACTTGCTCAGAACCCTAAAATAATATTGAGGAACAAAGCGGTATTCCCAAATGGCTCGTCAGTGAATAAAATCGCATGGCAGCTGATGAACATTAGGACGTGAAAAGTACAAAGATATCACGCCGAGTTCATGAACTGAAAGTTGCAAAGAAGGTCGTATGACTCGTATCGTGAATACTGATTACAAGTTTCTAATCCTTTTCATTGTGCGCGTGCATCGAAGTTGATAATATTATATAATATTGAATGATATGCGCGCGCGCGATCACAAAGCCGCGCGAAAATTTTAGTACTCTACACGGTATAAAATTAATCGCGCGTTCCATACAAAACACTCCAATTTTGGTAACACAGTAGATGTTTTCTTCTTACCTCATTTTACCTCATCCCAATTTTGCCTTTTTTGGCTGCCCGACATGGATCAAATATGAGTTATTAGATCTCTGCAATACGTTGTTACAAAAAAATAAAACGGGGCGACATTCTTACAATTTCGCTTACAATTTTGCTAGAACACCTCCTCTGGCAATACAGTAGATGTTCCGAACAAGAATTGTAAGGGAATGTCGTCCAATATCAGATGCAAAATAGTGTTAAAATTAGTTCCTTTCTGTGAATAAAGAAGAAATAATTAGTTATCTTGTTCGGAGAAAACCGTCCTGAGCAGGGCAGTTTAAAACTGATTTAAACCATGTTGAAGTTTTTATAAAGTTTTTAATGAGGCAACATGTCACAATTTACTGCATAAGCACATGAAGACATTTCACATGGTATAGGAAGAGATCAGTAAATAATTTGTATCGTAATAAAT